AACTACAGTTCCCATGGTTTTTCGGGGGGAATTATGTGTTTGGGTGACAATTAAAATTATTTCTTTGTCATTTTTTTTTTAATTAACCTGGCTGCATTGTGTTCTTTTACAGTTGGATTTCCTCTTAAAGTCTCCATTTTCTCAGTGCCAGTTGTCAAAACTTGTTTATCCAGCTTCATGTAATGCCTTTCAATATGACCAATCAGTAATTATAAATCTCTGCAACTAGCTTGTTCAGTTACCTGAATTTTGGTTACCAAAACATTTTAAACAGCCTCACATGGCACTTACAAGTTGTATTGCATTCGTGCCTTATTTTTTTAGATATCTGGTTTCATGCAAATATTGCAGCTTTCTTTCCCTGCAGTGCAGGGGAAAGCTATCTGTGGGGAGTGAATTGTGTACTGCGGCAAAAGGCCTCTCTTTTCTATATATATATAATTTGAATTGATTTTCAGTTAATAACTTTTAACCTCCTGAACCAAAGAGTCTGTTGCATGGTACATGCATCAAAGGCTGGATGATATGCTGGAAACTGCTTTCCTATGTGTCTTCACATCCAGCTGCACGATCCTGGTACCTGCTGAAGATCTAAGTGAAGATTTGAGATGCTAATAGCTGCTTCTTTTTCTCCGAATGGACTAGTTAAAATCCTACAACATTTAAACAATTTAGGCAAATAATGTAGCTGTTCAAAACACATCCCTTGTTTGAGCATGCCAGTAAGCCACAGGAAGAGAGAAAAGCAGTCCTGTATTCTAATTTCAGTTTGATTCTCTGAGTGCTATTGCTTAGGAAGACAAAAATAGCCCAGTGAGAACTGAGCATGCTCTGTGGGCATGGAATGCTGACCAGCTATTAGGAAAGGATGTAGAGAAATTGGTGGCAGGCGGGGGGGGGGGGGGGAGAGAAAGGAATGGAGTGGCTGGAACAATGAAGAGAAGTACTTCACGTTATATATATTCCACCAACTCATTCAAATTATCAAGGTGGGGTGCAATATTTACAACACAAAACTCTTGCTCATATATTAATAATATCTGTTAGTTTTTAAGTTGCTACTAGACTTTTTTTTTTTTTTGCTGAAAAAGACTAACATAGCAGCTACCTGCTGGTGGCAATGAAGTCTTTGAATGATTGCACCCAAACAACACCATCCATGAACAAGAGGGAGTTATCGACAGACTTGGGGTAACGGAAATTGCAGAAGTACAAAAAAACTTTAGGAAAATGCTTCTAAGACAGAGCTGGAAAACTTTTCTGGCCTGGCAGGACAGATCTTTATCTCTCCCGCCACCCCTGCTTGTGGGCCAACGTTGACAGGTCGGCAGGGCTTGTCAACCATCTGTCCGCCATCTAACATCATGATACTGTCTGCAGCTGACTGATAGGTAGGCGATCCCACCTGTCAGAGTTGTCCTTTGGAGTTGGGGTTATGGGTCTGTTTCACCAGTGCATTCCCTACTGGGAACATTTTAGCAAAGAAGATCCTAGCAGATGAGTGGAAGGTTCAATCTTGTTGGCTACTAGGGTCTTCTTCACCCAAGCATTCTCCACAGGGAATGAGCTAGTGAATCGGTACCCAATGAAATTGAGCCCCACTTCCTTTCCCATCAACTGGGTGATGCCAGCTGATGGACAAAAGGGCATGGTTTGGGGTAAATGGCTTCACAGGCCAGCTAGAAAAAGAATCTCCATAACAAAGAAAGGACAGTCAAGGTAATATTCTGCTGTCCTACTGCTTTGACTGATTTACAATCAAGAATCACAATTGATCTTGAGCATCAGTTGGGGAATACTGCACTAGACAATTTAAGTGACTGCCTGGGACAGTACATTGAAGGGAGAAGGTGGCATATTTTGAGCAATGGCAATGTTAGATAGTAGTAATGGTCCATCACTAGCATTCCTGTGTTGTGTTTTTGCTTATGTTTCTCTCAAGGACTGCAGGATGTAAGAAGAGGCAAGCAAATGCAGTGCAATATATTTTAATAGGTGAGGACTTTTAAGAATTGGATTGCAGTTTTATGAAAAATGTGCTCAACAAACACCATCCTAACCAGAAATGCTTGTGTCAAATAGGACTATGTGACCATGAAATTACATGAAGCAGTAGCTGCAGGTAGCAGATTTCAGAAGGGCAGCATTTTCTTATCTCCAAAGTCTAATTGGGAGCAGTGACCATGGTGCTATTAAATTAAACGTACATGTAAATGGCCATTTGCCAAGAAAATCCAACATGGTCACATTTGACTTCAAAAGAAGAAATTTCCCCCAAATGAGGGGATTGGTAAAAAGGAAGTTGAAAGGCAAAGTCAAGAGGGTCAAATCATTCCAAAATGCCTGGGAGTTGTTTAAAAACACAATAGTGGAAGCTCATCTGGAGTGGATACCGAAGATGAGGAAAGGTACCATGAGGGCCTAGAGCATGCCAAAGTGGTTGATGAACAGAGTCAAAAGAAAGCTTCCTTTAAAAAAAAATGGAAGTCTTGTTCAAACAAGAGTACACAAGGAGCATAAGGAGATTGCAGAGAAGCTGGACAAATTATTTGGGTTTGTGGACATCCAATGAAACTGAATATTGGAATATTCAGGACACATTAAAAAAAATACTAAGCAGTTCATAATTAAACCATGGAACTTGCTCCTACAGGAGCCAGTGATGGCCACCAACTTAGATGGCTTTACAAGAGGATTTGACAATTTCATGGCGAATAAGGCTACTAACCATGATGGCTATGCTCTGCTTCCATGGTGGGAGGTGGTAATACCTCTGAATACTAGATTCTGGAAGCCTCAGGAAGCCCTGGCTGTAGGCTTCCCACAGGCATCTGTTTGGCCAGAACAGGATGCTAGGTTAGATGGCACCACTGGCCCAATCCAGAAGGCTGCTCTTATATTCTATTGGTACATGCAGTTAAAACAAAAATGCACAGGGAGAGGGTTGGAATCAATTTACTAGTTTGCTGCAGGTGCAAAAATGTCTAAAGATGGTTATATACACTTATGCCTTACGGCTGGTATTTTTCACCATCCCTGCCTTATCATCTTCAGTGTGTGAGAGCTTGTAGTGTTGGTGAGTAAAAGGCGGGCTTTTGTAAATAGTTATTTCAGGACTGAATCCTGACCTAGCAAGCTGTGACTCAAATGAAGCTTTACTTGATGGCTTTGGTTGCCGCCCCATCTGTAGAAGAACTGCAGCAATTTGAGTGAGCCGTTTGTGTTTGGTAACATTTAGGATAAACAACACCCAAGTCCAGTTTACTCTTTTGTGTCTTACATACGGCCCCTGGTATCTGCTCTGGGCAGGGTAGCCATATAAGGGATAAAGTTCTGCATGTCTATAAAGCAGTGGAGCTGTGTGTGTGTGTGTGTGTGTTTAGACTTACAGTACAGTCATTATTTTAACAGCACTTATTGTGACTTAAGGTCAACATTCGTCTTCCAGAATTTTCTTTATTGAAGGAACGAAGCTTTATGCCATAACCCCATGTCTCTTCTAATTGAATGAGTGCTTCCCTTGTCCTTGAAGCAACAAAGAAATATGTGCATCTAGTCTCTGCAACATGGAGAGCATCTACTTTCAGATTTGGCATCTCTCAACTTTAAAACCAGCTTCTTCTTTTTTTAAAGGTGTATTGGCACACCTCTGCTTCAATTGCAATGCACAGTACTGAAGGACATTGTTGTGGCTTTCTAGAACAAAGAATTGGCAACTACCACAGCTCAAACACTCACATGCCTATGTGTTTTAGGCATTAATGTGGTCTGTTGGAAGGTTAGGGTCCTTAAGCTTTTCCTTAGCTCTGCTACACATACCTGCAAACTTCTGAATATGCCAGAAAAAATGCTTTCAAATAACTTGAGTTGTTTAACTGGAATGAAAAGACTTTGAATAGTGTAGTTCCTAAATAACCATGCTTGTTGCTGTTGCCACGTGCTTTCCTTCCTGCATAGAATGAGAGAAGATTGTTCCAGTGTGTGGCACAGAGAAAATGCAGCAAAGGATAATGTAGAGGTGCCCACATGTGCTGGAAGTAGCTTTTGATACATCACCATGACATGTACTGATGCAGGGTGGCCACTTCTGCATTGTGATAAAAATGGGGATGCGGATCTGCTAAAGCTAATTTGTGTATATAGGTGCAAATTTAGAAATAATATACTGCACTGCCTGAGCAGTGAGTACCTCAGAATAATCCAAGTACTGGTACAGAGAATATTGTTCCCTAGTTTTGCTAGTCTAACACACTGGTGTTTATTTCATAGTGCTATGTTGTTCTACTGTATGTAACATACTTCCTAACATTTTTCATTTCTCTTCAGTCTCTTTGCTATTGTGCCCTGCAAATTATTTCACAGCACATCATTCCATTAGCACAAGCCCTTGCTTCGCTACTTAACCTGAACTACCACTTGCATAATGCATGACAACTTGGTAACCTGCTGTCTAGATTCAGCCTACCTGAACCTAGTTTTTATGTCACTGTCACTTCTAAACTACTAGTTGCATTGTATTTATGCAAGTATAGTTAACTGTCACTCTGAACTCCTGCACTACCAGTTTCAACTTTAATTTAGACTGGAATCCCTTTGAATTTGGACCGCAATCCCAATATCTTAAATAGTCTCTTGAAACTATGACTCAGAAGTAGAGGCTTTCTGGGTACAGTTTTTTAGTGGCTTGTATTTAGCTGTTGTGGTGGAGGAAAAGCATTTGATGTGCAAAAACTGGCACAGGAGAGTGACACCCAATTATTGCAAGTATCAGTTAGATGTATCTCATGCTAAATTCCTTAACCTTTAAACAGGAGGTGTTCATACTCTCGATAGACTATGGTATGTTAGATATCAGAGTACAAGTCAGCTTGACAAAACCCAGGTACACTTTGTTAATAACCATGTATTATACCTTGAAGAGACATAAGTGCAGGAAAGACGGAAAAAGCTCTGTGCTTGTCAATATTGAGAGCTGGAGGATTAAAACATGGTTCTCTAGCTTTAAATCAGAAGATTAATTGTTTAATGCTATATGTTATATGTTTTGGAAGTCTACATTCTCATTGTGTTCAGTGGGCATATTTTCCTATCACCAATAATTGTTCCACTGCATTGTTCCACTGCATTTCAGAAGTAACCACACTCCAGTAGCTGCACTTTATTTAAAGAGATTTCTTTATCATTTAACTTTATTACAGCAGGCACAGCCTGGACGCTGTTCGAGTGACAAGGACTATTTCCTTAATTACTGTGCATTGATAATAGCATTTACTCTGGCAGCTCCAGTGCTATTCAATCAAGCGAGATTCAATACAAAAAAAGCTGATTTGCCAAAAGGAAGATTAGCATAAGTGCCTGCAGTCACATTCTATTTTTAAAGGTAAAGTTACTTCTTGTCAGAACTTTATTAAAAGCCATAACATGATTACTATCATCTACCTGCTATTGTTAAAAAATAAATAAATCTTTAAAATCTGCAAAGTTCAGTATTCAAGCTAAGGACATTTAACATGCTCCCTCCTCCCATCCTAAAGTATTTGATCACATCTGATTTACAAAAGCAATGGCAGGGTTTATTTCTCATCCTACTCTGACGTAGATACTCAAATTTATTGTACCAAGTTTTCCTCCCCCTAATTTTGTATTGCTGCACTTAGTCATCGCTTGATTAAGTGATGACTAAGGAGATTGCTTTTTAAAATGGAACATTTCTCTTTTTTTTGCAGTGGATCTAGCATAAACTGGAAATGCCGACTTCAGCATTACGCACATCTCTTAGCAGAAGGTTAAACAGGACATTTAAATATTATGGCAAGCTATGATGAGATCAAAGCTCAGAAAACAAATGGTAACCGGATAACAGCACTTGGTATCCTCAATTATCAAACGTAGAAGATTGAGGACCACATTATGACCTGTACACGTAAATGAGTCCAGCAGGTCAAACCACTAAAGGAAAGGCATATATATTCCATAGCTTCCTCTTAACAAAATGGCAGGCAAACAGTTTTAAATCCTTCTAAAGCGGCTGAGAGTGCTGGATAGCCATCTTTTTACAAAGACTCTTGTTGCCGACTCTATCTATCTATCTATCTATCTAGCCAGGGGTTGTTCTGCGCTTGTTCCTTCACAGCTGGCTATTGTTGTGAGAATAAGAGAACAGACACTGCTTCCATAAGTAAAACTATGAAGTCAGTAACTGAGCTCGCTCTTTCAGCAACTCATTTAACAAGTGCTGATGTAGGCTTAGAGACACAGTGCATTCCCCTCTTATTTTAGCTCTTATGAAGTGGACTTGACTTTAAACAACAGTTAAGACTTTCCAGGTGGCAACAAAACTGACAAAAGTGAAATTGCCAACGGTAGTTGTGCTGAAATATTAAGAGACTTTTTATACCTCTCTTCATACCGGGAAAAGCAAAAATGCTTTATGGTTGGAAGAAGTGACAGAAAGAAGACAAGGGAAATGACAGCAATGACCATTGTTTATATTCCTCACGAACAGCAAGATGAAAATGCTACAAACATTTAGCTCTGAATTGGGGAGAGGGACAGTGATGTAAGTGTTCCTAGGGAACAATATTCTTATTCTGTTGAAGGAGGTGAGCCAAGACACTTAAGCTCCAGAGAACCTTTAACACAGGAAGCTATTTATCATAACAAGCTTGGTTGAGACTGCTCCCCATACTGAACCAATTAGAGTAGCTTATTTCGTCATACTTCATAACTTGCAATGATAGGTTTCCAAGCCTGGCACAGTGCAGTAATTGAATTTTGATCAAACACACATGGCCCATAACCCACTATGTGAAACTTTCAGAGCAGTTCGCAGCTTTTAAATATCCAGTCAACTTGTTGCCAAAAGTACAGGATGTACTTGATGCAAGGGAGGGAGAGAATGAATGAGCTGGAACTTGGTACATCTGTAAAACAACATTTTTTTGTTTGACTTCTCCTCTTGCTTTTAAAGAGCAGTCAGGAAAGGGATGCTGAATCTGAGGTCATTTCTTCCTGCCTTTACTTTTATGTTCGCACATACGCTTTTCAGAGTTTTTATGCAATTTGTATTAAGTCCATTGTGCAGTAATTCATGATGCATTTTCCATAATTTATGTCCATTGTTTATTCTTATTTAACAAAATAATTTAAAAGGAAAGTCACTGTCCTATTCTTGTCAAGGCTATGGTTATTGTCAAAACCATGGCCTGTGTATGATGAAGCTGTCTTCTGCTTTTTGGCATGGGCAGAGACAACAAGACAACTGATGACACAGATGCTTCCATCAAATCATGTCCTTTGAAGGCAGACCCCTTCCATTAGTTATTGTTCAGCTGAACTCTGGAAGAAATCAAAGTATTAAATGATTAATTCCTGTCAGTGGGAAAGCATGAGTGGTTCCAAAGCTTCCATGAATGAAAGACAGTTTGTGAAGCTGCCTCTTGTCCCACAGGAACCCAGAGCACAATAGTAGCCTCTTGAGTCCTTTGCAACAGCACAGTCAAACACACATCCCCCTCAAAGCCTGAACAGCAGCTGCCCCCCATTTGCAGCAAGAATGGAGCTTGGATTTTCTTCACTTTTGTTCTCCTTTCTGCTCCCTTTCATAGGACTAAATTTCTATACGGCTGGTTATAGGATAGACATGAGCTGCATCTTCTCTTCCAACCACACCTTTTATCTATGTTCATTCCCAGCGCTTGTCATCAGAATACTACTGTAGGACACAGCTGCTGCTGGAGCCCCATGGGTGGCAGCTAGGTTAGCTGACTTCTCAGCTTCTTCCTCTTTGCTCTACGTCAGTCTATAGCTTAAAGCAGGGATAGCCACTGTGGTGTCTCCAGATATTGCTGGACTCTAGTGAGCATGACCAATGGCCAGGGATAACATGAGCTGTAGTCCGGTAACATCTGGAGGTACATGCTGACAAACTCTGACTTAAAGTATAGCTAAGCACATTAAACTATTGCATACCCTAGAGATAAACACCAGTAGCAGCAAAATGAATATGTGAGCTAGTAGACAGCTGTAAATCACCTACTTCTTGTCACCTGGTTGTGAACCAGCAAGGAAATAAACACATTTCAATGGCAAACTTTTATACACTGGAAAACAATGCAAATGAATGGTATCCTTGGTACGATTTGTAATTGCAGGATACAAATACATTCTGATCGCTTGAAGTTGCAAACTTGCATGCCTGCAAACTTACAATACAGAAGTTTAATATGGCAGTTATTTAATATGATCCTGAGAAATATCTGTCGGCTGTTTTCAACTGTATTGGGAAACCACATGGCACCAACTGAGCCAAAGAACTCACTGGCTTAGCACAAATGAGCAAATGTGTGCGGTTCCTGGTGAAAACAGTCACTGTGCTCCTCCCCAGTCATTTTGCACCTGCCATAAGCTGCGGTCTGGCTTAGGGTACCATCTGAACCTGGGCTCATGATTTAGCTCTCCCTGACAAACCATGAGCTGTAAAAACCATAGGACAAACCTTAGTTTCAGTTTGTGATTTGTCTAGAGACAGCTAAGTCATGAGCTTGAGTTTGAATGCTAAGCCCAAACCACAGCTTAGCACAGCAGCAAAACAAGTAGGGAGGAGCAAAGTGACCATGATCTCTTCCCTGGGAGTTGGCACATTTTTATTAAGCCATGCTTTGCCGTAACATGATATGTGAACCAGACCACTGGGTGGTACATGAGTTCCATGTGTGTTTCAAGCCTTCTCCCTATTTCATATAAAATGTGCCTTTTCTCAGTGTGTAAGACAGACTTGTCAGGAACATAGGATGTCACTCTAGAAAACTAGAATTTTTATAGCTAGTTTGCTTCAGTTGTCTCATGCGCCTGTTTGGGGGTAAAGGTACCACGAGGATATGAAGGTTAGCGGTACCAGCATGCTCAGTTAAAGGATCTCAGGTGACTTGGGTGGCAAGGATACCTGCTTGAGATCTTTAACTGACAAACTTTCCTTGAGAGCTGCTGCCATAGTAGACAGTATTTGTGAAGATGAACCAATGCCAGTTCATCTATATGCCGGTTTCATGCATATAAACAGCTCCATTTGTGATTGCAGAAAATATATATAGGGTTTGAAGGTCTAGAGGCAGCCAAGTCATGAGCCCTTTCAGTTGCCACACATATACATGTGTTGGAGTGAGAGCCAGGGTATTGGGATATTAGTCATGAAACTAAATCAAATTCAGAGCACAGCCATTTTCCATGCTATTTCTTAATTTTATTTTTGCTAGTGGGAAAACTTAAAAATGAACGTGATCCCAATTTGATTGCTGTGTTACTGAACAATTCAGTTGCAGATTTCAAGTACATGTTGCAAACTTCTTCAAAATAGGATTTATATAGTAAATATACTAATGGAAGACAATCTTTGAAATTGTCGAACAGTCTAGAAACTTGATGCATCAACACAGCAGCGGACAATACTATATAGGCTTTCCTTGTAGGCTAAACACAGACAGAATCAGTGCTGAGCTTATAACCTGACCTTTGCAATGCACTTGTTTCAATAGGCATAGGTTATGGGGTTTGGCTCCACCTACAGGAAAGAGGAGGCAAAATGTGGGGTAACTAAACATTGCTTTTGCCAAAAACTGCATCTTACTGGCTTTTCAAGCGAGATCCACCAATATTGGCTTGGTTCACTGTGGAGAAGGTAATGAACAGCGTCCTCTGCCACTGTTAAGAAGAGAATCACATCGTTTCTACCTTCTGCAAACCACAACACAAATGAGAGTTTGGAGTCTTTGCACTGCTGTGTGTTCTTCTTATAATAGGTGAGGGGAAGTTGCATGTGATGAGTGAATGCAGTTTTGAACACTAAAAAGAGATATTATTGCATTAGTTACAAAATTCCCTAGAATTTGTAGGGGGTTGGTTACAAAAAGGTCATGGAACTGTGCAGTTATTCTGGTTTTCTGTTACGTGACAGGAAACAAGCATTCGACTCCTCTGTGCCATGCATACTTCATTTTACAAGAGTAATAGTTATTAATCAATTAATGAATTTTTAACATACCCAAATCAAGGCACTTACTGGCATGTTTAAGGGTATATTTGTGGTTTTCTGAATGTCTCATTAGAAATACTCAGTCTGGTAAGTCTTGCTCCATAATAATCTATGATGTAACTAGAGCCATCAGAAGGTCCTACGATCTAAAAGAGAATGTATTACAATATATATATATATTTAAAATCATTTTGAACAAAAATAAAACAAAATACAATTTTGAACAGTATATATGAAAAAGAATCTATTAAAACCATTACCCTAGCCCAGCAAGACATAAAACCTCTAATTAGAGCTAAAACTACTTATTAGAGCTTGTTATTCCAAAACAAATATGACTGGAATTCTCTTTTAAATGTTTGTCGGGTGACTCATTTATATACTCTCCCTGCCCAGAACCCAAGAATGTTTACAGGCAGTCACCCATCCAGGCACTAACCAGACTGAGACCTGCTTAGTTTCAGTCAGGTGGTGGGCGCATGAATCTTTAGGTGCAGCTGGGACTTAGAAGCAAACAAAAGCCACAAGATTCCTACAGGAGAATATGCAGTAGCATGTATAAATTGTTGTAACACTGCTGACATTTTCTGAAGTTTCAACAGTAGGGTGGAAATCACACTACAGTACCTTTACATGTGAATACTGACACATATATTTCCACAAACATCTGTGTTTAGGAAATTCAGAAACACTGTTTTGTGTTTAAAAGAACCAGCTCTTCAAGTGTCAAGCACAATCAAATGTTTTTACTAAGCAACAGTTTCAGCAACCATTTAAGGCTATTTAGGAAGTAAATACATAGTGCCAAAATAATCTGGAAACATTCCCTTTGGTAAACATCCTTCTCATCCTCAACTTTCTTTAATTTAATATAAAAGCTGACCCAAATAAAAATCCGATCTTTGCATTAAAATGTTTAATTGGCAGGTGTTTACAATTTATCCCAGAAACCTCACAAATTTATTTATACCTATGATGGCAACATGGAATTTCAAGCACACTGTTGTAATGGATTAAGTTCAGTATTATATAAGATAGGCTCATAATTTCAGTTACCCCTCCCATGCTGTGAAATTATGTTCTAGCAGTTTTAATGTCATATCAGTTTTACCTAAGTGCTAACATCGCTGAACAGAGAAGCTGAGAGGAGCCTGAATGGGGAGATTTAAATCAAGGAGTTTAATGTCTGTACTTGTATTGTATAAAACTTCCACAAACATGTACTTCTTCCTTTGTAATGGCAAACTGAGAAAAGTGTTAATACATGAAATTATTCTGCCAAAACTCCTCTTGAATCCATGAGTATTTTATTTCTGGCGTACAATAATTTTAAACCTTGAAAGTTATTTTTAATCATTAGCTGGCCAGGTACAAAACTCATCTATTCTAAGCCCCACTGCTAAAAAAAACCACCAAACCCCACTTCCTGTATTTTAAGCCAGAGAACTGTAATCACTGGCAGTTAACGTCCAAAAATTAATAACATACCTTCCAAGTGTCAAAAACAGAGTGGAAATGTCTATAACTATGCTTCATAGCAACTTAATTTTTTGGCCCTGAAGTTTAAGTTCTATCTGCCACCCCAGGATTCCTTACAGCTATACCTACCCTACTAGTATTACACCTCTATGTTTTATGATATTGTGGTTCAAGAAGAGGTGTGGAATTTGAGGGTAGAGCAAATCCCTTCAAATGAATGGAAGTTGTTTCTATTTTAGCTGTAAGCCACCTTGAGTCCCTGTCAGGAAAAAAGGCAAAGTATCTATATTAAAATAATAATATTATAATACGTTGTTTGTCTTTAAAATTTTAACAACATGGGTGGACCTGGTTGGTTTTTGAACTTATTTTCTGGGTTCTGGGGGGCTGTACAGGAGCAGATCATATGAACGAAAGTTTGGTTCCAGGAAGCCATGATTATTATTATGCCTAGGTCAAATATTTTAAGGAGAAAGCATAATTGGATACAGGGATAATTCTTCCTACAATTCTAACTTTGAGATAAACACAGTGATGGGCCCTATATCTTCCTCTGAAGATGTGTGTCTGGATGGTTGACAGCTCTCTGATAGCACACCAACGGGTCTGCAGATGAGCAAATTATGGTTCTCCCAATTCTAATTAAAAACAAGGAAACAGAGAGGATTTATCACTGTGATCCGTTCAAACCTGTGCTGGAACAATACAGATTTTTTTGTTTAATTGGGACTGGAATAAAATATTACTTTCATCTATTTCTGTTTTGGGGTAGCTTTTGATTGTACAAGTTTCCTGTTCAGAGTTTAAGAGTTACCTATTTCTCTGTTAATTAAACCAGGAAGCAACTGTTCAAGGAAAAGTGCCCCAGTTACAAACTATGGCATGAAAGGGGAGTGTAAGATATGAACTGGGTACTCAAGTTTGTGGTGAGTGAAGTCTTCACCCGTTTTCCACTAATTGCCCGGCTGTGTGCCTTTGTACTATATGCTTGTTACATTACAAGATTATTTTTATGTTAACGAATATTTTCTTCCCTGTTTAGAGATAGAAGCCTTTGTTTGGGGCAATTAGTTTGAGAAAGGAGAGTACAATCTTGGCTAGGAACCAGGTGGTTTCAAGGATCTTCTTCCAGGCTTGGGCAGAATTTATAACATAGTTCTGATAAGGAAAGCTGAAAGACTCAGAGCTGAAAGTAAAGGAAGAGGCACAAATTTTAAATATTGGGTCAAGGCCTAAAGTAATTAAAGAGTAATTTTAATGAGCAAAGTATTCGGATTGTGTCAGATGATTTGAAATGAGAGGGGCTCTATATTAGTGAAACTCATACAGAAGTGGACTTTACCAAGGAGGGGGCTTCTTTCTCTCTCCTGATATTTTCTTACATTTAACTTAATTGGCATCCCCCTCCTCAACAGCACATTCCCTGAAGGCATGCTAGCTTGGTGGTGTGGGGAGATGGAGAGTAGGTTGTCTGTTTGCTAAGACGAGGAAACGTGCTTCCAGGAGTAGCTTCATAGTTTTTCTAGGATTTTTCCTTTTACATTCTATTTTTTATTTCCCCTAAACCTTATGATTTATTTTAGCTAAATATTTCCAACAGAAACCAGTAGCCCTTACCATAGCAATTCTTGTAGATATAAACCTTTGCTTAATATTTTCCAAATTTAAAGTCATTTATTTATTCATTATTCCGTAAAGCCCTTAATTCTATCTCAATATTTGGGAAACACATATCTATGTATCATACATTTAATTTACTTGCTTTAAAATCTTAAGTAACTTTTTGTATATTGTTTCAGAATACCTTTATAATAAAGTGAAACTTTCCTACTGTTTTTGAGTTAGCTAGACTGCAGGGAGGGTGTTAAGGTAACTGCTTTCTTATATTTCATTTTTCATTTATAATTTCTTGTTTTATCTCACATAGTTAATACAAACACTTCCTATTTCTTCTCTTCAGCATTTGTAGTAGCCCCATTATTACATCTATTGTAGTATGATCACTTTTATGTAACTTTCTGTTTATTCATCTCATGCTTTCGCCATTTTAAATGGATATTTACAATTTCTCACAATGTGCCAGTTATTTAGTCTTAATACATTTTAAAATTTACTTTCTTTTTGTGTGGTTCTGGCTCTTCAGTCACATAGAAATATGCTCGGTGGAGCATATTAATACAGATTGAATATAGAACCTGTTACTCATACTTGCTATTACATGTCGACCAAGAGAGCATGATGTCAAGAAATAGTGAACATCAGTCAGATAGGTAAAGGTTAAGTCAACATTTTTAGCCGGCTGTTCAAGCTGAAATACATGGAGGCTAAATCAGCTCATATGATTTGGCAGTGCTTGGTTTAGATCACATAGCAAAACATGCATTTTGAGACTAGCAGATACTGTGGCTTTATCTTTGTGGTTCTCAACTATATACAGACAACTCCCCATTTATGCAGGGGTTGCATTCCAAGGCACTGTGCGTGTTGGCGGGATGCAAGTAAGTCCGCCCTACCCCCTTCCAGTGCTGAAAATGGTGTGCGCACCAGCAGTCGCGCATGGCTCGAATGTGTGTAAATGGGGAGTTGCCTGTATGTAACACAGGTTATAAGTAAAAATTAGGTGGCATGGGTCTATAAGCTGACTAATAGTACAACAATGGAAAGCAAAGTCCTCCCAATTATGGAAGATTTGCCTCAGAACATAACAATCTGAATATGTAGTCTTTAATAAATAAAAGAAATCTGAAATCTAGGAACCTCTCTCACACACTTTTCTGGACTGCCAAGCCTCATATATTTTATTAGTGTTTTCCCCTCCTCTGCACCTGCCTCCCACATGATTTCACTTTTCCCAGCAGTGACTAAGGTATGGAAAAATTGTGTTCCAGGGGCCTCTTTCAGAAATGATACAAATATTTCATTGTTATATAACTCCTACTATTCAAAAATAATTAAATGTTAATAAACTAGAGCTGCTGGAATAAAAAAAAAATGTAAAACATATTCTTTAAAAAACAGAACAGCCCTATAGCAAACTGCTTTTGAAACTGAGGAAAGTTTTAAAAGCAGTTATTGACATGGCATGGGAATCAGCTGTTCAAATGGGGGGAAAGGAGAATTCTGCTGGGCTAGCACAAGTCCCTTGCGGAAATCTAAGTAGCTTTTTGGATCCTAGCCAATGTCTTTTATTCTGATGTTGCAAGCTTACCTGCATTGAAATCAGAATGAAGTCTATTAAACTACCGATTCCACAAAATCCTACTGTGCAGAACTTTAATAAACCTGTGAATTAAGTGACAATCATACATTGAAGAGCATAAAAAGGTTTAGAGTGTTAGTTTTTAGACAACGATATATTTTCCTTCATAAAACATCTTTCAATTCCTTAGAAGCCCTTGAGTGTTATCCTGAAGAAGAATATGTGTAGCCAAGAAGTCATTTTTCAGTGCTTACTTTACACATACACCCCCCCCCCAATAGAATTTTTGTAGGGAGAGATGTGGCTTTGACTGGTACACTACAATTAGCAAAATACGGTGGGTAACTTGGAATGGCCACAAACAAACACAGGGTGATCTCCAACTAAGTAAAGAGTTAGACCCATTGAAATCAATAGACTTAAGTGACTTAAATTCATTGATGTTAATTGGTCTACTCCAAGTATGACAGTAGATATCACCCCCAGGCTGTAAATTTAGACAGCTACATGTAAATGACTTCAGTACAGAAAGTATAAGGGGGAAAGAAAACCCTCTAAACTAGCCGCTCTGAGCCCGGCCTTGGCTGGGGAGGGCGGGGTATAAATAAAAATAATTATTATTATTATTATTATTATTATTATTATTATTAAACTGATTGGTAGGGAATTGCTCCCTGATATTATGGAAGATGGCCGTTGAGAATTTTATTTTATCTAATGCTAGGAGTCCGTTTGATGCTATGGCCAGGTCCCTGTCCAAACAGCTTCCAATCCAAGACAAAAGTGATAAAAAAAAAGAACAGTGTTAATATAGTAGCAATGTTGTAGCAATTTAGGAAAGATTTGGAACAATCTACATTTGCTTACATGGGAGAGCAGAATGTTTGTAAGCATTGTAATAATACACTGGAGTCCCAGAACTGTATATTTGTCTAACATGAAGAAGAATGACAGACTTAATGGGTTGTTATTCCATTGGGAAAAACCAAAATGACACTCTATAATCTGAATGGGTTTCACTCCAAATGGGTACATGAGGATTGCTACACTTATAAAAATATGGGCAAATAAATAATTAAAACATCTTTAGCCAAGCATATAAAAGCACAGGCACCACTCCTGCCAACAGTGTCTCAAAACAGCAAGGCCAGCTACTACCAAAATATTTACTGGCAACAGGGAAAAAATGCAAAAATAACAGAAAAGCAACATGTGCCAATTCTTTAAAAGATACTTGTCTTCTACCTCTATAGCATTTTCTGCTGAGGCAACAGTCAGGCAAGTCTTCCTGTAGAGCTGCTTGCATTTTAGGGACCTGACAGGCGCCTTATATGCCCAAGTACTGATGTCTGGCAGTACATTTCATGCCAAGACGGAAAAGCTTTTTTAATGTGGAGTCATTTTGTGAAGACAAAAACCATGATAAAATGGCTCTAAGAGATTTTTTTATGATTCCACACAAGTTAATATCTCTGAAATGTCTACTAACCTATTTTCTAAGCCTATGATATTCACATGTGAATGAATTCTCTTTTTAAAAAAGTGTTTCTTGGACTGGTAGATATTTTCCTAGACCCTTCTCAGTTTTGTTGTGTATGTTTGATAGGGTGCTGCCAATCATTTTGATTGCTGGTATCAGTTGGGACAACACTGGTTTATCCTGACTTCATCTCAAGCCATGAAGAATCCTAGAAGGAACAAACACAAACACACACACACACTTGCTCCATCAACTCCTTTTAACTCCTTGACCTTAGTGAAGCATATGAGTGGGTGTTGTCAATCACATTGGCTGTTTTTGTTGTCTTTTACCCTCATTCTTTTCAAAACTCCTATTTATTTGGATAAATGAGTATACAACCATAGCCTCAACACACTAAACTCAGCAAGCATGCATAGTATCAGGCAGCTTGTTATACTAAAACCATTATTATTTTTTTACCACGTTATGAATGTTTTCAGACAAAGCCTAAGCCAAATGACTTCTACCAGATCACATTGAGGATCAAATAGCACCTCATATTTCTTAATAACTACAGTATTAAGACTGTGGAATACTCTAATTTTACAGAGTATACAGCCAAGAAGGGTATCGAAATGACAAAAGTAGTTTAAATTTGGGAGCAGGGAAGAAAGGAGAGAAGAAAGAGGATATTTAAAGCTATGTGATTAGTGTAGATCCCTATGAGAATTATAGGCAAGATTGAGGGGCATATCATGTAAGTAAGTTTTCAGTGTGGTCAAGGTCAGGACAGACTAAGGGGCTAATGCCTGACTGAGAATTCTCTTAAGAAAGGCTGCTGAGGGCAAGAGGAAAAAGCCGAAGCATTTATTAAGTTCTCTTTTTGCTCTTTGATACACAGATGCCTAGGAAGCAGGCATGGCTTGTAAACATGGAATTCAATGGAGAAGCTTCACAATATGATCTGAAATGGCAGGCTTGTGATAAATATTTACTTTTAAAATACGGTGGTTGATTTGACTAGCCTACCAACTGAGTTTTAATGCTTATTCATCATATACATGGGATAAATTTAGGTCACAAATTGTACTTTTCATTACTTCACATTCTAGCTGTGATCAAAAATACACATACATCATAATCTTCAGTGTAATCATCTTTGTTTACAGTATGAATGGCACCTGCTCTTAATACTGCCTTGATGCATAGTGAGCCATAGCGGTGGCCTAATACTAAGAAGATAAATCACTCACCTAATGCAGGATACCCTAGATAAAACCTATCTGCTCCCAGCCATCCAAGAAATAAAGACAGAGCCACCGCTACTTTGTAGGAGTAACCATTTCTAGAAACAGGAGAGAAATGTGGATGAAAACAATTTGTTAAATCAAACCACCTTGCCCCAGTGAGCAATCTGGCTGCTGAATTCTGAACCAGCTGAAGTTTCCAAGCTGTCCTCAGAGGCAGCCCCTCCCAATATAAAATGTTGCAGTAATCTAACCTATATGTTTTCAGAGCATAGACAACAGAAGTTAGGCTACCTCTACCAAGATAAGGGTGCATTTGGGCCAGCAGCCAAAGCTGATGGAAGGCACTCCATGCCACTGAGGTCACCTGAGCCTCAAGGAACAGCAATGGAAGCTGTTCTACCTGCTCCTTCAGAGAGAGAGTAACCCCATCAAGAGCAGGCAACCTCTCATACATCCAGTCTAAGGAGTCACCCATTTAGTAGTGTCTAGGTCTCTGGATTGAGCTCGTTTCTTGGCTCTCATCCAGTCCATTAACAAGGCAAGACCTTAGTCCAGGACATCCACTGCCACACCTGCAAATGTAATGGAGAAGTAGAGCTGTGGGTTCTTAGCATATTGCTCACAACATACTCCAAACCTCTGGACGACCCCACTCAGTAGTTTCATGTATACGTTAAAACAGCATGGGGGATAAAATCAAACCCTAAGGACCGCAAAATGAAGCATCCACAGAGCCAAGCAACGCTCCCCAAGCATCACCCTCTGAGAACAACCATCCAAGTAGGACTGGAACCACCACAAAGCAGTGCCACCCACCCACAACGTAGACAGCCACTCCAGAAGGATACCATGGTTGATGGTATTGAAAGTTGCTGAGAAGTAAAGGAGAATTAACAGGGACATATTTTCCCTGTCTCTCCCCTGACAGAGGTAATCATACAAGGCGACCCAAGCAGTTTCTGTGCCAAAACTGGGCTGAATCTCTTAGATGTGAAGCAGTTTTACTACAATTTCTTAAAACTGACGTGTTACTCCTCTACACTCTCCTGTCATAGAGCTGAGAAGGAAGAGGGCTAAATCACACTTCAGACTAAGGAGGTGGCTGAAGTATATGAACAATTTTATAATTAATTTAGCCAAGCTTTACAACAAGTGGTGGCATTATATATTGAACAAAAATATTCACTTACACGTTTCGACACTCTATAGGCTTGTAAAATCCAATTTCCTTTCCAGTAAATTGGGTTTCATTCCCAAATAAATTCTTGCAAGTAATATTTGGTGCTGGAAGACAGGCGACTGCAGGCAAAAAAAAAAAAAAAAAGCATTCTGTACTAAACTCCAGGGAAAGGCCTCAAATACAGAACAAGTGAAATAAATATATGCATGTTTTTATCAAGACAGCTAATACTACACATAGAAGAATGCAACTGTACTACAGATTCAATATAAAATATTTTCTCGAAAAAGTGGAAATATACAAGTTAAGTTTTCTGAATTAACATTATAAAGTAATGACTAGGATGATAAAATGGTTGAACAAATTTCTTTGCACCTATGACACTTAGCTATGCTAAACAAAATATATATGACAAGACCGTGAAGTACAAATTAACATAGACTATCAAGGTGCATAGAAGGTTGTGGACCAAAGATGTTCACATACCACTGTAAATAAATACACCAATTATGCATTCAATTATAAATTGTGCCATACACAGTGTTACTGATCACCACTATACATTATCAATATTGGGTGCAGGAACTAGTGTTTATCATGAACAGCATTTAGTCAAATAATATGCACCAGTAGCTAGACTAAAAGCATTCTATTGCCATACTCCTTACCATATGCAGTGTGATTTGTACAGTTCAAAGGTTCTTGTGTTTCATTGTCTATTTTAGGATCTTCACAAATATATGTTTGAATAATTAAGGAAAACAAATATAAACTGAACTCCCATGTTAAGTGTTCAACAATAACAACACAGTAAATTACGATAAATTGTTTTTATCTGCCTAAGATTTTACAGGCGGAAGTGGCCTGTTTTCCTTCTTATTACCAATATTTTGGGTATATAAACATATAAACTTTGTATTTGAAAAACAAAGTGCTTAACTAGGCTTTACAAGAGACACACTGTTTCCTGGTATTTATCTATCTCTTCCTAATAATGTGAGACAAACAAAATGGAAGAGATCAGACAATCATAAAATGGTTTAAATAAGCCAAAATCTGAGGAAGATTTTTGCTTGTACCCAGACAGCCCTTTGTATGAACTATAATTAAACCTATTCAGTATAGTTTCCCATTTTATCCAATCTAGGAAATGACAGTTAGCAGTTTCATAACAAATTAATATGCTATTAAACTATGGTTTAAAAATGTTATTTAAAACATAGTTTAATATCCTGGCTTTCTTGCTCTGCTAAAACAATTAAATGTTGTACTTTTATCCACAACAAAATATGACCCAGGGCCTCAGACAGGCAGCCCATTTATTTAGAACAGGTGTGGGGAACCTGTGGATCTCTAGATGTTTGTAGACTACAACTTCCATTATCCCTGACCACTGGCTGTGCTGGCTGAGGCTAACAGGAGTTGGAGTCCAATAACATCTGAAGAGCCAAACTCTCCATTCTTGAACTAGACTTTTTTCTGCTTAATTTTATTAGCATTCCTTTAGTCCAACACATCACAGATTCAAATAAAGTGATTGTACTACATGTTACCCCAAAACCATTTCAAAGACATATTAACACAGCGACAGACAAAAGAGGAGTCACTACTCTTAGCCCTTCCCCTATTTAGGGGTCCTTTACCTTTTACTCAGGTTAAATATTTTTTCTACACCTGTTCACTGCCTGATGTCAGATAGCCTTGCTTGATGAGGTCACTTCATGAGGTTTAAACATATATTTCCCCCCATATCTTGCCACTTTGCAGCTGCCACTTTTTTGTGTATGGCAGAGCTACTGTGCCCCTTAAGACTACAAAAGATTCAACAGGTGTAGCTTCTGCCCAGCATGCAGCTGAAGTGGTGCGAAGGCCTCCTCGGGTGTTTTAAATCACAGGAGCTCTGACGGGAAAAGGGGCAGCCCCACGGCCCTCCCCAACCCATTGCAAGGCCCATCACCATGGCAACCAGGCGCTGCCTCCGCGCAGCTTCAGGATATTGGCCGACTCTCAGGTCTTCGCACTTCAGAGAAGGGTCGCCGCCCGCCGCGCCCTGCGCCGCGAGACAAGCCAAGCACAAGGTTCCCAAGGACCAGAGCACGATCACGCCGCCTTTTTTCCTCTTGTTCCCTGACAGCGGCATCTCCTGCCAGGCGGCCATCTTGGAAAACGAGCCCCCCGGTCAGCTGACGTTTTCGCCCTATCTAGTAGCGTCGACGCCTCTCCCAAAGGGCCAGCGGGCCTCGAAATGGGGCGGAAGAAGCGACGCTGTTCTTCCAGGGAAGCCTTCATTTTCCCATAGCAAAGATGGCTCCCGTTCCTTATAATTTCCAATGCGGTCGAAGGCAGAAAGCGCCCGCTTTCCTCCCCGGTAAACAGACAGGCGGCGAAATGGGAAGCCGGGTGCCTTTTGGAAAGATGGGTGCTTTCCTAACAAAGCTGCGAGAGGAAGCTCGGCTGCCCTTACTTAAGATGGATCCTTTTGAAGCGCGGAAACTTGACTGAAATGTTCAGCCCCGTCCCAATCGCAAAACGAAAGCGCGTGCGTTGGTCAGAGGTTGATAGAATCATAAAATAAAGCCAAGCTCACAAATTAATGCCTGTATCGTGTTATTTATTCAACTAATATCCCACCCTTCCTCCCGAACAGGGTTTCCCAAACTTGGGTCTCAAGCTGTTTTTTTGGACTACAACTCCCATCAACGCTGATCGCTGGTCCTGCTAGCTAGGGATGATGGGAGTTGTAGTCCAAAAAACAGCTGGAGACTCAGTTTAGGAAACCCTGCTCCCGAAGAAGCCCAGGGAGGCATAGAATCCCTTCCGATCTCGTTGATAGATTCCTCTCGCATCCATCCACAGTCGCAACCTCTAAAGGCTGCATATTAAAAAAAAGCTAACGGGGCTCCGGGGTCATTTATCGAAATTAAGTAGTTTCACATGTACACGCAAAATGGATATTTGTACTGTATATCATAATAACGAAAAGCTTCACCTGCTGAAAATTTCTGTTAGGTATTTTTTAGGTCCAAAGGGGTGAAGAAGTTCACTGGCAACAGGGATTGGTAAGCATGTATTTAAATGTTTTAAGCTAATTTTATAGAATAATAGAGAAGAGTATTGTGTGGTAACTAAGGCTGCAATCCTAACCATGTCTATTCAGAAGTATGCCCTACTGAATTCAATGGGGCTTTCTCAAAGGTAAGTAAATTTAGGATTGCAACCCCACTTCCCTGCTCCTGGATTCACTGCCACTGGAGGCTCAGGTGCTACGGACCCTTTTAGACCGAGATGACTTGCCACCTTACTCCATGCTCTACCGGATTGGATTGTGGCCGTGTGCTCTACCTGGGGCTGCCCTGGTGAAGGACAGGTAATAAATAACAGCAAAACAATACTTTGCTAAGAAGATTCTTATAACTAACGTGAACTATCCTGGAGTTGAGAATGCATCTCTGAGACACTTGGCTGCCTGAAACTTCATTATTTCCTGTCCGTTTAGGAAAAGTTTAAAAACTATTTATCCCGAGTTCTAACAATAAGTAAAAGCCAAATATGACTTGTGTTTGGGTTTTTTTCAACTTAAAAAACCCATAAACTGACTCATGATTTCTTCATGCTTGGGGTTGAGCATGTTGCTGGTTTCATAAACAGCTGCTGCTAAACCAGCTGGATTCTCTCTCGCCACTGCCGCGTATTCACACGTGTCGGGAATTATCTCCCCTTCATCTTGCTTCTGTTTCACGCCCCTCTCAACCCTTGGATTATTTCCTTCTATGTCTCTCCCCACTTCTTTATGTGCCTTCCCCGGTGCCTTCACCGCGGCCCTTGGGCTTGTTGGTTCACACCGCGCGGAAATCAAGCGGGGCGAAACCCCGCCGCCTGCTGCCTGCCGCTCTCTCTGCCTTCCTTCCCCTCCAGATCCGGACTCTCCCGGCGTTGGTTGTTTCCTTGCCTAAGGCACGGCTCCCCCTTGCTGCCAGCTTCCTGTGTTGCAGGTGAGGCGCGGCTCGAATCCAGGCTCCCGCTTCCGCCCAGGTAAGAGCGAGTGGAAGATCCGAAAGAGGCAGCCGTGGCAGATCTCTCCTCCTCCCGCAGAGACCAGGTAAGAGGGGGTCCAGGAACAGGCGACCCTCTCCTCGCCCCCTGTCATTTGCGGGGAAGAGAAGCAGCGCGCAGCCGCTGGAAAAGCAACCGGCGGGGCATTTACAGGACGCCCTCCACTTACTTCCTGGATGTTTCTAAGTTTCGTCGAAAACACTTGTCGCACTTCGGGCTGGGCTGCTTTGCAGAGCCCTGAGCTGGGATTTAAATCTCTGTGGAGTTTGTTCCCAGTTCGTGCTTTTTCTTCTAATTATCCAAGGCTAAAAAGATTTAATAACAACAGTAATAAAAAAATTGAAATTCTAATTTTAACTGCAAGCTTCCACACCCACTGGGCTTCCTTGTTTTGGCTGTGGCGAGGGATTTTGATTATTGCATGGTGGTGGCCGCTTTGGGAGTTGTCCTGTTTTAACATAAACAGTTGAAAACCTAAGACAGGGTGGAGGAGAAGCGGTGAAAAGCTATTTTCAGCCTGGTTGTAACTCTCAGCCATGGCGCAACAGGTCCCACACCTTGGCCCCTGACTAGCTGCTGCACCTTGCTTGAGTAGTTCCTGCCTCTCCATGTCTTTACACAGCCTCTCTGGTGGGGCTTGTGAGGCCACCCACAGGTTGAGAGTGGACCCACCTGTACTGACCTCACACCACCTGTTTTTGAGGTCTAGCAGCCGCCTCTGCTGGTGGAATTTGAGCTTTGTGCCTCTCTGAGGACAAGGGGCCCATCTTCCCTGTGCTGCACCACTGTCTACAGTGGGCAGTGGCAGCAGCACCAATGTTGTCTTTCTCCCTCTTGGGCTCAGAGAGTTGCCTGCCGATGGCAGTTGTGTCTCACGCTCCTGACAAAGGGAACAAGTGGAGCTGTAAGGAGCCTCCGCCCCCCTTCTCTTTCTTGTTGACCCTTTCTGTGTTGCACCTTCCTCTAGTTGCCCCTTTCTCTGTGGCTGGTGACACAGGGAGGGTTAGGTCCAGCAGGGCTTCCCAGGGTGAGCACTGCTTCACATCTCCTGTCATTTGTGAACTGCCTTTGGGCAGCTTCGTGGAAGAGACTGGGCCAAGTGGGTCTGGAGAGAGAGAGAGAGAGAGAACCTAAGCTGTTGCTGCCTCTGCCTGCTCTTGGCAATAAGCAGCTAGGATTGGATGCAGCAGGCATGGCTCTGCCAAGACATTTGCCGCCTAAGGCAGAACAGCAAAGTGTGCCCTCCCGCACTTCATGCACATAATAGCCACAGCCAGTTAAGTTTATTTTGCCACTCAAGGCAGAACAATCCCCAAACCCCCTCTCACCTTCCCTGGTAGTAAAATACAATAGTAATAAATTAAATAATCATATGAAGCCTTTTTGTGACACCCCAAACCAGCTGCCTCATTCTGCCGCCAATGATAGGGCTGGCACTGCTATAGCACCACTTGGAAGAATGCCAAAGCAGGGAGGCCAACAGTAATCCAATGTGAATTTAAACTCGTATAATGGGAAAATATGGCAGGGGTGTAAATTTTAGAATTTGCTGGGTCCCTTTTATGTTTATATGTAGCAGGAAGCTAAATAGCCACATGGATAATTCTTCTCAGCATTGTTTGGGTTATGCTAAATAATAATACATATTGGATAATACGTATTGTTTAGTGGCTGGGGAATTTTTTTTCTTTTAAATGCTTTAGGCTGCAGTCCTGACCCCTCTTGTCTGGAAGTAAGCTCCACTGAATTCAATTGGACTTGCTTATTAATGGATATGGTTAAGATTGTGCTGTTAGTGAAGAAACTGTATTTATCACAATAGTAATCCCCCTATGATCTCCAAACATTTTGATTGAATGTGAGATTTTAAGAAGCAGCTTTTGAGAATGATTACAGGTATTATGTGTGTGTGTGACATCTTTGCTCCACAAAGAAACATGTTGACCTCAACTTAACTTGTACTTTTATTTTAAAATGCAGATTATTTTGACTACTGCAGCACAGATAAGCCAACATGCCAGAAAATCCTGTTGCAGGTAGGCATCTCTGGAAAAGAATCTCTTGGTCAAATAATCAAATATTTCAAAGCAGGCGTTTAATGTGTGATGTTTTATGGAATCCCACAGATAAGCAGCAGGTGCTGCGGATTTTGGAGCGTTTGCTATTGAAGCTACACGAGAGAGGAGACACTTCACAGATCGATAATCTGGCTTTCCTGTACAATACACTCAAGAATCCCTTGTTTAATCATATGCTGACTCTTCAGCAGTCAATCAAGCAACTGAAAGAACAAGTAAGTTAAAGACTGTGAAGTTTAGCAATGCTGGTGGTTATGTTTGAGGGATGAATTAATGAAATATTCATCGCTGACAATGTTGTTTTACACTATGTATCTGCTTGGGGTGAATGCTGATCTTTTGTCACGTCTATGGTAAATTTATAATCATTGTAATGTATCATGGATTTACTAAATCACTCACTAATTGCCTTCAGACAATTATGTTCTATGTCTGGGGTTGGGTCCTGCCCTGGGCTCCTTTTGCAGGAAGGGTGGGATAGAAATTCAGTAACTAAAATAGATAATAAATAGATGACCATGAGGCCTGCCCCCCACTCTGTGATTTGTTACTAATGTTATACAAAGGTTTAACATCAGAGGTCAAACTGCCGCCTATCGTGCCTTGAACCTAACATTTGAAGTTTTCCTAGAGGTTTTCCTACATTTGGCCACTCCTGAGATAAATAAGAAGCGCTTACTCACAAATCGACTGGCAGGAGAAACAATTATATGTGTAAATTAATGTCTTCCCTTGCTATCCGCAGCTCGCTTACATGCCTCCAAATCGTTCAGTGGATTTTGATTTTACCAGGAGAGGTTTGCTGGTGTTTGACGCTGATCAAAATTCTCTTGCTAATGGAAACCTTTATATGACTTGCAACCAAAACAATCAGATGACTCCTCTAGTTCCAAAGCCTGGAGTTGATGAGTTTAATTTGGCAATCCAGAGGATGGCAAAGGTATGGCACAGCACCATTGGCAAACTAAATATATATTGCTCATCCCATTAATTCCAAATGTTTCTGGTTTTCAAGTTTTACATTTGTACAGCAAAGCATGCAAGTGTATTTGGGGGGGGGGGGTTGCATTATAATTGTATAATGGTAAGTAATAGAAAGCTCATGTTCTAAGTATTTTTTGAGCAGGTTCTTGCCAAACCTTGAATTTGTGGCATTTTCTTCGATTCTTGCATGCATTCAGTGTTCCTTTTGTAAAAACTCAGGAAGTGTGTAGTAATCATCATCATCATCAGTGCTTTTTTTCTAAAAAAATGTTTAGGGGTACTCTCATTTTCACTCAAGAAAATCACCATTTTGTAGTTCAAATTGGGAAAAATAAATATAGTAAATTGACAAAATTTTAAAAGATTGACAAAATGTTTAGGGGGTGTGCGTACCCCTGCGTACCCCCATGAAAAAAAACACAGATAATAATAGTATTGATACCCCACCGATCTGGCTGGGTTTCCCCAGCCACTCTGGG